AAATAAAGATGCACGACGTGCGACTGTTGTCTTTGCATTAAATGAACGCAAGCCAGTATTCGTAAAAAACAAAACAGTGTCGAGGATGCAGACAATGCCCGACTGATTAACAAGAGGTAGTATAGAATGTAGTAAAACAAATGTGGCGCGGGTCCTGTGTAGTGGCCGTTACACCGTCTCAACGGAGAGCCATTGTGACTGCGCGTTGATAGTAAAATCTCACTCACAACAATGTAGGATGCAATGGACGGTACCACGACCTTATTTTGGATGTGACAGACTCGCGCAGACCGGCTCGCGTCGCGTGACAACGCTAAAAAATAAAATACACATATGTGAGAAGTTGACGTCCAGCCATCCTTGTCGGCTTCATAAAGCAAAACTGTACACTTCATTACAACCTGTCGTCCGTTTTGCTCTCCGTACTCACCCCCCTGAGGAACAAACCATCAGTCAGTTCGCAGCGTAAATATCAACCCCCCTCCCCAAAAAATGTAGCAGGTGCATAAGCACACCAATCAACAAACATGCGCTTTGCATTAAATAAAAAGCAACACTACGCACTTATAACCCCCAGCGAGCTGGTCTCTGCACTCACCCCCTCTGTTGAAACCACACGCCGAACAACGTCGAAACCAGGCGTCGGCGGTCATTTTCTCAACTTCAGGTGCAAACGCACACTACGAATTTGTATCCACTCTTAAGTGCTTTGACGTTTAGCTTTAGAGAGGAAGTGCCATTTCAGTTTGTGAGAGCGCGAGGCTATAGCGCGAGCCCGTTAAACCGTTCACGGCTGTTACACAAACCGGTGACAGCAACACAACAACAGAGAGGAAGAAAAGAAAAGCTCACCTTTTTTTTTTGTAAAAAATAAAATAAAAAATTGCGTCGTTGTTGAAAAAGCGTTCTCTCTCCGGGGAACGTTTAGTCCGAGTCTGAAGATGTCGGTGTGACTTTGCTGAAGTGCTGTCAGTTGGTGCGGACTTCCTGAATGACGGCGCAGCGGGAGCACAACCCCTCGCTCGTGTTTGACAGCTACAGACGGCCGGAAATAAAGTTGTCTCTGCGTGGATGTGCACTTCCCATGTGTGTTTTTGTACAGAATAAATACCAAATGTATTGTTCTTGCATCTTTTGCACAATTGGAAATCATATGTAAAAAAAATAATAGATGGCGTTGCATGTATCTTCCGTAGTGAAGCATTTGAATAACAAGCGCATGTGTAAAAGTAAAATAACAATACTGCAGCTTATTTTCTTTTGCAAATCATTAAAGATGCATGGACTGAGTCATAGCCATTCTGTTGCAACTTCAGTGATGGCAATCCAGGTCGTCTCTTGAATGTACTCAGTACAATGCTGCCATCTGCTGTTACCATTATGAAGTTTAACTAACACTTTTAAAAGCAATGTACTGTATGTTTATGAGTACAATACCAGAAATGTATTACGACTGCATACCAAACAACATAAGGATGTACCTGGAATTAAATAAAACATTTGAGGAGCGTCATTAGGTTGAAAAAACAATTTTATTTCAGTATTTTTTTATTCCATAGCATTACTGTAGCTATTAAACCAAATAATATCATTAATTTAATCTTATAGGCAATTGAATACATTTATTGTGACATTTAACAACGAGTGAATACATCATATTGATATTCAAATACCACTGAAGTCATAGCATTTTAATATTTTACTTGAATATTTTTCACAAATTCAGATTTTTTAAGTGTCCAACATTCAAACAATCAAATGTCCACATTTCTCAATTCAAGAAGTAAAATACTTACTCGAGTGTGGTCTTAAAATCTGGTTAGTGAAATTCATATATAAAAATTCAAGATGTAAAATTCAAACTCAACCGGGGACGAAGCAGCTGAGTCAGATGGGAATTGATCAAACTTTAGTACTCAGGTTATAGTTTGTCAGTAATGTGACCCAAAGATCTTATCTGCGTAAAAATAGACTACGAGGGTTGAAAGTATCCTTGCTAGCCTGGATGTTTCAAATTATAATTTTTTGATTTTGGTGTTTGTTCATATCTACCTCAGTTTCTTATGCGTCTCTGCAACATCAACAGTCAGATTCTAAAAGACCACATCAAGATTAACAATGCGACATGTGCAAATGTCTTGTTTGGGGCGAATAGTCTGAAACCCAAAGATGCTGTGTTTACTTTGTATTGTTACTTTTGTATTCTACCCATTTACCTCTGGCTACACACACAGGAATCAAACCCACAATCCCTGGTTTATGAGGTCAGTGTCTCATCTATTCGGCCTCTGGGACTATATGTTTTTTGCCTCTTTGATGCTGTGAAGGGCCTGAACTGCAGACTAATTTTTTTCATCTATAAAACAAAAGGCAAAAAAACGAAATACAGTCAATTTACTATCACTGAGAAAACAGCCAATTTTCATATTTGAAAACCTCAATATGTGCAGATGTCTTCACAGGATCAAACTAGTCTACAGGCTTTCACATGTAAAAGTGTTACCACTGTTGGATGTTTTTATTGTTTCTTTTAATATGTCCCCAGGGTTCTCTAGAAAGTAGCATCGATACTCTATTGTGGATTGTTGTGTTGAAATAAAGTAAACGACTATAACCTCTGTGGTTGTTGCAATTATGATATGCTGTACAAGTTATATGTTAGGTGTTTGCTTATTTAAAGGCAATATGCTAAAAGAAATGCAGCCTAGATTTTTAAACCCTTTTGGTGCCAAGTGGTCAAAATGAGGTTAATTGCTGGATACACATGAGAAAACAGACAGACAGGAATACATCGTGGCTTAATTGGAAAAACTCTCGATTTCACAAATAACCACCCACAGATCCTCCGAGTGTAGAAAAACTAAATGGATAGCGAGAAAATTGGGAGCCAAAACAAAGAGACCTCACAACCCCTGATGTTCGGCAATATGCCTGAACAAATGTTTTACTGTATATTGCAATGCGCATCAAGACAACGAGCTAATTATTGAAAAGTATCCATTATCTCAAAATCCTGATTTACAGTCTTTGGAAAGTCAAATTAAAGATGTTGTTTTATATATTAAACGTTAATATTTTGGACATTGTATACAGGCATAAGGTCAGACAGCTTGTTACTCGGGGGTCCTGCCATTTGTAGGCGATGTTCCAAGCAAGCTGCAAAACACAAATCGATTGTTAATTTTGTGTTTGTTTACATTTTCCAAGCGAACAAATGGCTTCGACTTTGCTATCGCCTATGGTGGATTATTACAACGACGAGGAAGAACTTGACAGCGTGGAGGACGATGATGACCGAAGTTTCAGAGGAAGAGACTCGGAAGAAGGTAAAAATACGTTCAACGTATTGACCAAAAGCTCCCTGACAGTGGGGCTCTGTCTGCTTGTGTGAAAAGAAACGGAAGCGCGCGATTATTGCGTGAATTTAGTTAATTTTTACGATCGCGTTTGAAGTGATCTACAGATTACACTCGACTTGGAACAGTGTTTTTTTTTTTTGCACTTTCAAAATCAAATTTGCCTGCTCCTAAAACTAGGCAGCTAGCTTTAATCGCACGCACTTAGCTTGCAAGCTACATAACAAGTTAGCTAACTACCGACAATCAAGAAACATTTCAGGAGCAGGTGGTACAAACTAACGTTATCTAAACCGCTTACACTGGTTTAGAGTTTCCCAGCGCTCATAGAAAATTGAGCCAACGGTTAACGATAATAAACAAACTCGCGTTTGTTTACAAGCTAACATTAGTTAGCTTGGCGTGTCAATACTGACGTTACGCGTGTATTCCACCACGTTAATTCGGGAGGTTGGCTTTACGTTATTGTGTAATACAATCCGTTCCGTTTAAAATTATCTGTAGGCATGTCACAGCCCATCTGGACAAATTATATTCCATATAGCGTGAAATTAGCCAACTAAGCTAATGTAACGTTAGCTTCGAGCATTGACAGGTACACGGCACGGCACGCGAAACACTGCGCGTGCTGTGTGTCCACTGCACTGCCCTTTTCACACTATTCAATGAGACCGGACGGATAGCAGTGAAAGAGAGAGAGAGACCAGAGGAGATAAAAGGCGATGACAGCACTACAAGGTTAGCTAGTTTGCTGACTTCCAGCTGGACTTATTTTTCCTCTCCTCCTCCGGACATGTTGACGGTTCCGTTGTGCCTTGACTAACGTGAGCTAGAATTACTGTTTGTAACAGCGAGACCGAGCTAACTCAAGCTAGCGCACGAATGCTAACCGAAAATGAAAGCTTGCTGGGTCAGCTTTAACGCGACTGGGGCCTTGTGCCCTTCTCTTGTGTTTCTAAAGGTAACGCCTGTCTGACATATAGGGTTATAACCGGTGCTTATAAAACTTGGCTCTCAAAGTTTGCCACATCACAGCTAGCTTAAACATGCTAGCTGTTGGACTGACAGTACGAAGTTAGCACCGGGAACTGTTTCTGATTAATCCCACCATGCGGCAAATGGGTGATACTCTAAATTAACAGCTATACTTCTGTTCCGAATTGTATTAAATGTCGTCTGATTACATTTACCAGCATTGGCTTTTGTCCTGCTGTCGATCCGAGAATAAATAATGCATGATCATCTGTGGCGAGTTTGGATTTCCACCCGGTGTCCTATTCTAACCTACCGGTGTTACACCATTACTTTACCGGTGCCACGCACGTCCGTTGATTGGCACAGATCTCCGCTGTCTGTCTGCGGACTACACTTAATTGCATTAAAGGATTGTATTGTGGAAAAGCTAAACAAAAAAGCTACACAATGATCTCGCGGTACAGCATGCTGGGATGATCACACGTGCACTATTTTATGGGAAAAAGAAAAATCGGTTTTCATTGAGAAATCCTTTTGAATATTGAGTGAACTCTTGTCCTGTCGTGACCTTTTTTCCAGACACGGAAGATGCCAGTGAAACAGACCTTGCCAAGCACGACGAGGATGACTATGTTGAAATCAAAGAGCAGTAAGTGCTTTGCAAATCCTGGATCACCTGTTTTAACTTTAATTAAATATATATTTGAAGGTGATATATTTTGAATGTTATGTGATATTAACTCTGCTTTATTTCTTTGCAGAATGTACCAAGACAAACTGGCCTCTCTGAAAAGACAGTTGCAGCAATTACAAGAAGGTAATCAGTTTTAATCTTTTTCTTTAGATCTGAGGTGTGTCAGGAGTTGATTTTCATTAGAGATGTTTTTGCAGGACAGATCCCAACTGAAAATGGTGGTGTGACACGTTGTGGGCTCTTTGTAAATGTAGGTGCAATGTCAGTGAAGTCTAGTCTAGACTGTGGGTGGGTAATGAGAGCAGCAGGTGTAGGATGCCAAAACCTGCAGGTGAGTTGTCGAGAAATATTGCCGATGTATTGCAAAGAAACAAACTCGATATTGGTGTTGAATAACTTCTGAAGTTACCGGCTCTCACCCTACAAGAACACCTAAGTCATAATAAGACAATACCACAACATTTGTGATTCCATAGATCTTCGTGTTTGCTCTTTGCAGGTACGCTGCAGGAGTATCAGAAGAGGATGAAGAAGCTCGACCAGCAGTACAAAGAGAGACTCCGAAATGCAGGCGAGTATTTAGAGAAGGAACACGCTGTGCTTTGCTTCTGGTGCATTCGGCGCATTAATACAATTTTAATGTGACTCCTGCTTTATTGTGTTTTTCATTTTGAGAACTTTGGTAATAAACTGTGCTGCAAATCAACAGCTGGCAGATGTGAAATAGAAAAAGGAAACTTTCCCAAATGCAAGAGCTTGTGGATAAACAAAGATGAGTTATAAACTGTAGGGAGGTTGTTTTAGTATTAA